TTCTGTTTTTTTGTGCTTGCTTGTCTGAGCTGTTGGGTGCCGAAGTGCCGTGTGCTGTTATCAATTTTGGTTGTATCCCTATTGGCCTCTATTTCTCAAATAATTGGTGTTCTAGGGTTGTTTGAGTATTCTGCTAGCGGGAAGATTAGCTGTGTTTTCTCTTGTTCTGATCTATCGGTAATTCGTGGTCAGTGTAGTTTATGGGGTTTCTTTGTGGAAAGATGAGGGTAGAGCTCAAATGATTTTGGGGAAATTAAGGATGAGTTAGTTTTTCTGGGTTCTTGATTATGGGTTTGGGATTAGATTTTGGAGGATTGTGCATTTGTAGGTTCTAATTTCTGTATGTTTGGATAAGGAATTGTCTTGGTTTTTTTACTACATTCTGTTTTATTTCGTGCGCAGACGGGGCAAACAGTTGCCATCAAGAAGATTCGACTTGGGAAGCAGAAGGAAGGGGTGAACTTCACAGCTTTGAGAGAAATTAAATTGCTAAAGGAGCTTAAGGACCCAAATATAATAGAATTGATTGATGCATTCCCTCATAAAGGGAACTTGCACCTTGTGTTTGAGTTCATGGAGACAGATCTGGAAGCTGTTATTCGTGATAGAAACATCTTTCTCTCTCCAGCTGATATCAAGTCGTACATTCAGATGACTCTGAAAGGTCTTGCATTTTGCCATAAGAAATGGGTCTTGCATAGGTGTGAGCTTTGTTCAATTTGTGCTACTTATTTTCTTCGACTTGCTTCATTTTTTTTTATATTCTTGACTGTTTTGAACAGGGATATGAAACCGAACAACTTGCTTATTGGACCTGGGGGTCAACTTAAACTCGCTGATTTCGGATTAGCTCGTATATTTGGGAGCCCGGATCGAAGATTCACTCACCAGGTATACGTCTCTCTGGTCGATCCAGACCAAGACATCTCAGACTTGTTGCATGCAATGAAGGTGTTGATTCGTGTGTTCTCAACGTGAAAGGATTGATTAATATGTGATCCAGATGGCATTCAGATGGAATTTTTTTGTGTGTTAAAATATTTGAAACACTGTTATTTTGATGGGGTGGTGAGAATTGTAGAAAGAATTACCGTAATGTTGTCTGGATGTTTCCCAATGGCCATACACTTGATTATATTTGTTTTCTCCTTAACTATGAGTTTCTTTTTCATGCTGTCACGTATAGAAACCTGTTAATTTTACTTATAATTTTGAGTTGTCTTTTATGAATCTGTATCTGAATAATATTCTTCATGTCCTATTCTAGTTCTATAAATTGATTATCTTCTATAAATCTTTTCTGAGGGTGAATCCTATTGAATCGTTCAGTATCATATTAGGTTTTTGCTCGATGGTACAGAGCGCCAGAGCTGCTGTTCGGCGCTAAGCAATATGGTCCAGGGGTAGATGTGTGGGCTGCAGCATGTATATTTGCTGAACTACTTCTACGCCGGCCTTTCCTGCAGGTTAAAGTTTATCTTATTATGACATTTTTTCCACTCAATGCTTTAATCTTCACCGATTTTTTTTATGAGTGGTATAAAGCTAGCTTGATCCTAGTCTTTTGATGTACTTAATTTGAATTCGTTACTTTTTCAACTATCGTGTTCTGATCTGAAAACTAAATTTCTGTAGGGAAATACTGATATGGATCAACTAGGAAAGATATTCGGTGTTTTCGGTACCCCAAAAAGATCACAGTGGCCAGATATGGTGTATCTTCCCGATTATTTGGAATACCAATATGCGCCTGCTCAACCATTGCGCACATTATTCCCCGTGGCCAGTGATGATGCTTTGGACCTTTTAGGGAAGATGTTTATGTATGATCCGAAAGCTAGAATTTCAGCACAACAGGCTTTGGAGCATCGGTATTATACTCTATTCGATTAAAACACTCAGTTGATAGTTGGTTTTTGACAAAAACACATGCATTTATTTACCTTTTGCTCTTCTGCAGCTACTTTACTTCCACGCCTCCACCAACTGAACCTGTTATGCTTCCAAGACCTCCTCCAAAGAAGGATTCCATCAATTCAAAGGTCCCAGACTTGAATCCTGTAGCGGGGCCCACGGTGTTGTCTCCTCCAAGAAAGCAAAGAAGGGTGATGCCTAACCGTGAGACGTTTGATGCGACTGCTCGGGAGGTGGAGAATATTGTAGACTATGGGAATGAGTTAAGGCAGACAGGTGAGAGGGGCGAACAAGCTCCAATGTCTCTGGAATTCTCCGCTTTAGGAGCGGGGTATCCAAATAGACCAACAATTACCAGGTTAGGTTAATTTATATAGTTGGCATGCATACTTGATGATACTATCTTGAATATCATTTTTGTCGATGTGGGAGTTTTGGCCATGTTAATCGTGGTTATTGTCTTGCTTTTTGTGGACCGTGGTAGAAACAATAATAGGTGCGTATTTCGGTATGAAATTGCAACTATATTTTTATAAGGTACAGATTGAGAATGTAACATAATTATAGAAAGCTAATAAAGATATACAGAGAGGTGATTGCATTATCGAATCAATCGATGGGGATCATTGGAGGTTTGTCAAAACAAATTTGTGAAGAAAATTTTACCATTATGATGTTATCCACAGATTTGTTTTGAAGGCTCCGAATGCTAAATTGTGAAGGAAATCTAGTGTTATGGTGGTTGGTTGTGTGGATAGTCGTTGGAGCCTTTTAGAACCTTTGTTTGATTGCATATATTGATGAGTAAACATGCTTGTTGCGATTTTTATGTTTAAATATAATTAAAATTTTGCTCCTATACCAGTGCGGACAGATCACATTTAAAGAGGAAACTTGATCTTGAATTTCAACTGCCTGAAGAAGAAGAAGAAGAAGACGATTAACTTCCAGACGAGTTTTGCCTTGTTTTTCAGATTTTTTGCTCTGTGTAATGTCTGTTCTGCGAAGGTTCGTGATGGTTTTTCTCAGAAGATGGCACACATTTGACTCCACAATTTCATGTTTTCATGACAAAGCTTTAACAATACACACTGTTTTCATGACTCCACAATTTCATGTTTTCATCAAGGAAACAGTGCCAACAATCGAAAGGAGTGATTAGCGATTTGTCTCTGTATCGTGTTCGATTTTATTAGATGGTACGTAAAAAAAGGATCAAAGTTATTGTTATATTTTTGCTGTTGAACGTTTGTCTGTGGTTTGGATATGTTAATTAAACTTGATAATTGTTTGTTATTGTAATGAGTTAATGAGTTGAGAGAGAGATGTTTAAGAATTTTTTTACGCCAGCATTTTGACATTTTATAAATGATTCATATTTCTTGCATATTCTTTGTGGTCATTTGTGCTTTTGGATCCAGACCTGTAGTAAATTTTCATACATGTGACTAAAGATGCTCGTAATATTGTTGATTAAATATGTTATTATTTTAATTTTTATAAACTTTGTAATTCATATTTTCTATGTATAAATGTAGAGTTTTTTAATTTATACTCCTATATCTCAATTTCTGGTGTTTGAGAATAATTCATTGGGCCTCTTTATCTATGTCTATTAAACGAGGGCTGTAAAAGAGGGTTGAGCCGAGCATTGGTCTTGGTCGAGTTGGATTATAGTTATATTTTATTGTTGCTCGAGCTCGACAAATTGAACATTTTTAGGTTCGGTTCAATTAAACAATAAACGCAAGCGCTTGAGATTGACTCGAAGTTTTAATAAAAAAACGATTAGTTAGGGTATTTAGGTAATTTATATATATATATATATATATAGATATATATATTCGAGCGGTTCATTGAGCACTTGAGATCACAAAATACAGGCACGAGCACGACTTGAGTTAGATTTTAACGTGTTCGAGCTCGGTCAAACATTTTTATTGAGAATAAAATATAATCGAAAAAATATAGTGGGATTTTGGAGATTTAACAAATGTCTATAATGAAAATCGAATTGAACTGAAAAAATAATTGATTATTTCACAAATGTCAATGGAAATGTAATTATAAATAATTATGTTAAATTTAGTAAATAGATTATAGCTCGAGGTATAATTTAACTTGCTTGATCTCGCAAACTTCCATACTGAATAATAAAAAAAGAACCGAAAAAATAATTAGAGTGAGTTTCGAGATTTCGACAAATATTTGAAGATCGAATTGAACCGACAAAATAATTGACAATTTCACAAACATCAAGGAAATGTAATTATTAATATATTATCAAATTTAGTATATAGATTATTTGAATATTTTCAACAAGTTTTCTTAAACCTAATATCAACTACATTTTCATAAATTTTCATTGCAATCTCATGAAAATTACACAAAACAATAGCTTATCTCAATATTTACAAAATTATATTCTTATATTATATAAATGCCCTCTATATCCACATAATTTTATCCTTTTTGCCTTTTTAGATTAATATTTAAAATTCGTTCCCCTTTGTCACCTTCACTTTCACAACCCCAAACAAAACGCAGAAAGAAAAATCAGCAAAAAATGGCGCAGTTATCGGAAACGTACGCCTGCGTGCCGTCGACGGAGCGCGGCCGCGGCATCCTACTATCCGGCGATCCGAAATCAAACTCGATCCTCTACTGCAATGGCCGATCCGTCATTATCCGGCACCTGGACCGCCCGCTGGAGATGCAGGTGTACGGGGAGCACGCGTACCCCGCCACCGTGGCGCGTTACTCCCCGAACGGCGAGTGGATCGCGTCGGCGGATGTCTCGGGCACGGTTCGGATCTGGGGAAGCCGCAGCGAGTTCGTGCTGAAGAAGGAATTCCGAGTGCTTTCGGGTCGGATCGACGATCTCCAGTGGTCGCCCGATGGTCAGCGGATAGTGGCGTCCGGCGACGGCAAGGGCAAGTCGTTCGTGCGAGCATTCATGTAAGTGTGAGAACATATGTTTTATCCAAAGTTGAGGTGCTTGTTTGTTGGTAATGTATTTGATACGTTGAAAATTCGGATATATATCTTGTTAGGCTGTAGCTAATGTAGTTTTAGGGAATGATAAAATTCGCATGTAGTGGTTCTGAAGAAGGGAACTGGGTGTAATATTTGTGGAAAATTGGGAACGCGTGATATTGTTGCTGAAGCCGTTGAAATTGTTTGGTCATTAATAAGCTGATTTCTGGATTGAAGCATGTTTAATTTGGCTGAAAATGATGATTGTGCGTACGTGGAAGAACTCTCTGTAGTAGTTGAAGTTAACGAGGTTTGTGCAGTGTGGATTTGTTCTTTTTATAAGCATTTCGCTCCCTCAGAGTAGATTATTTCTGTGTTCCCAATTTCAGTATGTTAATTGAAAGGTGCTGAAGTTTTTATGATTGCTGGACGACATGGAAGCCGAATTTTAGTATTATTACTTATTAGAGCACATAATGTGAATTGTAATCGCCTGTTGTAGAAGGTATTGACTGATAGAATGTTAGCTGGCAGTTGTATAATCATTTTACCTATGTCATGGTGTAGACGAATTCCTCTAGTGTTTGTAACTCTGGATAAACAAACTAGACAAATGAGCCTTTATACGCCGTGCCAACTTTGTCAATAGTTCAAAATTTGCTTGCAGGAGGAATTAACTCATTTGCGGGGTTGTCTTGTAAAACATAATTAGCTTGCATATATGAGCCATTTCTGTGTGGCTCTTCTTGCTGACAGTGTATCCGGAATTACGAACTATTTGTTATCGTAGTTATAACTTAAGCCAACCATCACCTGCACCAAGAACTTTCTTTAAATAAATGGTGTGTCCACGTGAATTAGTTCATTTAAAATAATGGAGCAACCTAAATCATGATTTTGTCCTTTAACAACCAAACACACTGTGCTTTCACCGGAATGCAATATATTCAGTGAAAATGCATCTTTTATTAACTCCGGGAATCTATCTCTTTAATTTTATGTAAAATATTCTAGTGTATTGATGCCTGTTTAGTGATGCTAGTGAATATATTACGTCAATTCTTGTTGATGAGCTTAAGTTGCAGGTGGGACTCAGGAACTAATGTTGGAGAATTCGATGGACATTCAAGAAGAGTTTTAAGCTGTGCATTTAAGCCAACGAGACCATTTCGCATTGTAACATGTGGGGAGGACTTTTTGGTTAATTTTTATGAAGGACCTCCATTTAAGTTCAAGCTATCTCACAGGTTTCTCTTCACTAATATTATACTTAACTGTAACTGGTTATGTTATCTATCTACATAAAATTACATTTATTTGAAGGTACTTTTCCAAAATGATGTTTACTTTTTATTAGAAGCTTATTGACACTCTATTCTCATGCCTCTTTGAGATAACAATCACTGTCTTTGGGTTTATTACATGGCATTGCCTCAACTAATGGCAGTTTTAGTGGGTTGAAGCTTGTTTGATTTTACATTCCGGTCATTCCCTGAAGTTACTTGATACAATTTCCGCTTGCAGGGATCATTCAAATTTCGTAAATTGTGTTCGCTTTTCTCCAGATGGGAGCAAATTCATTACTGTGAGCTCTGACAGAAAGGGAATAATATATGATGCCAAAACTGGTGACATAATCGGGGAATTGTCGTCTGAGGATGGCCACAAAGGTAGTATATATGCAATTAGTTGGGGTCCTGACAGTAAGCAGGTAAAATTGACTCAACATTGATCATTTCTCTGAATCACTATTTTCTATAATTCTTGAAAGCTCTCGTAAGGTGAATTGAATATACAGGACCTGAGAAGAAATAAAATTGGCATGTTGTAAATGAGGATTCACTAGCGATGTTCCTGCACATCAGTTGTACTAGATTTTACTGTCTTTTTCTTTTTTTGACAATGAACTATATTTTTATCTGTATTAACATTGTTACCTAGTTTCTGGTAATGCAGTTGTGCATTCCTCAGAGGTTATTGGTATAATAAAGATGGCTGTGGCTGAAGAAAGACTTAGATAGTAGACTTAGTATGATCAAAGTTCGATTATTTTTCACACCGAATTTAGAAACTAGGCATATTTCTGCTTACTTGAACATTATTGAGCACGTAGAAAAGATGGAACGGTTTCCAATCTCAGTTCCCATATATTTTTGAGAAATCTGTCTATATGATTTATTCACGGATGACATTATAATTTTTTTTGCTCTTTTCTACCTCTAACTTTTACTGCAGAATAAGTAGGTTTAGTTTTTCTAAAATATAATTTCAGGTGTTAACAGTATCTGCTGATAAGTCTGCAAAACTATGGGAAATATCCGAGGATAATATTGGAAAAGTGAAGAAAACCTTGACTTGTTCAGATTCTGGTGGAGTAGATGATATGTTAGTTGGCTGTCTCTGGCAGAACGATCATATTGTCACTGTTTCCCTTGGCGGCACGTTATATTTGTACTCAGCCAGTGATCTTGACAAGGCTCCATTGATATTGTCTGGACACATGAAGAATGTCAGTTCTCTAATGGTGCTGAAAAACCCCAAAGTTATATTATCCAGCAGCTATGATGGTTTAATTGTCAAGTGGGTTCAAGGTATTGGATACCACGGGAAATTAGAGAGGAAGGTGGTTTCTCAAATCAAATGTTTGGCTGCTGTTGATGAAGAAATCGTTTCATTTGGATTTGACAATAAGGTTTGAGTAATTGAAACTTTTACAGATGTTTGTTTGCCTTTCGTTTGCGTACAATATGCTAGAATCCTCTTCTTACCTGGTGTCTACTTGTTGTTCTTGAAAATATATCTGCCATTCCAGAAGTTGATTTCTATTGGAAACTTTGGTCGAAGTTCCAGCCAGGCTCTTTTAAGAGCTAGCATTTTATCAGAAAATTCATGTCCGTACTGTACTCGAAAGATACTCCATGGTAAAACTAATTCCAGCAATTAAATTAAAAATCTAACATGTCGTTTTGGAAATACTACTTGGTGAGAGGATTTCATAATACACCTCTAGCAGTTACATTATTTTCTTAATACTTGTCATATGTTTATTCTCACTTGCAGTTCGTACGTAGATGCTCATCTCAGTTTTTNNNNCCAATGAATGCCAAGTACCATGATGCTTCTTTCTCCATGCAGGTGTGGAGAATTCCTCTACAAGGAGACCAATGTGGGGAAGGAGAGTGCATCGATATTGGCAATCCACCAAAGGACGTGAGCCTCGCCCTTCTTTCTCCAAACATCGCATTAGTTTCTACTGATAATGGTGTCATCATCCTCGATGGTGGAAAAGTTGTGTCCACCATTGACCTAGGCTTCCCGGTGGCTGCTTGCGCTATTGCACCTAATGGCAAGGAAGCTATTGTTGGCGGTCAGGACGGGAAATTGCACGTGTATTCCATCACTGGCGACACCTTGAAAGAAGAAGCAGTGCTCGAGAAGCATAGGGGAGCTATAACTGTCATCCGGTATTCTCCAGATGTTTCCATGTTTGCATCAGCGGACGCTAATCGAGAAGCTGTCGTCTGGGATGCTGCTTCACGTGAGGTAGTAAAACAATCATTGTTGTCACTTTTTTATACTTTTTCAGGTTGTCCAAAATTTTCTGGTTTATTATAGGTGAAGGAATATATCAGTAGCTGATTTGTTAGTTATAAATCTTAACTGAGGTACATAATTTCGTTATATTTGCAAATCCCTTTAATTTTTTAAGGACATAATATAAATGGAAAAGGTTTCTATTCACGACGTTGTATGGATAACCTTAAAATGATGAGTTCAAGCGACCACATGTCGGCCGGATGAGGACCAAGTTAGGGGACTCATTGGAATTCACTCTATGTAAGTCATAATCCAGAGGGGAGAATATGAATAATTTATCATAAACAGTAGAATGGAAATCTTTAGGGTGCATTTGTACATAAATTTTTTGGGTGTGATTTGGATTTATTGAATAAAGTGAATTAAAGTTGAAAAAAGGTGATTGAGTGGAGTTTTGGATTGGATTTTGAGTTTGTGTTTGTGTTTGGAGAGGAGTTAAAATGCAATGATTATAGTTGATGTAATGTAAAAGTAGGAGGGAGAAATGATTGGATTTGTTGATTGTTAGTTAGAAATATGTGAGTGGATGAATAGTAAATTTTTAGATGTGATGTGTGATAATGATTGATTGATATTATTATATTATATTGATAATAATGAGGAGAATCAAATTGAGTTGGATTTTGAGTTAAAAATTAGAATTTAAAATTATTTGGTAGATTTGGAATGGATTTGATTGGTTAAATCCGGATTGGATTTATGTCCAATCGCACCCTTATTGCTTGAGATGAGAAACATGTTAAGCTTCGCAATCTAAGTTGGCCACAAATGTTTCTGAATATATACAAGTGCATATATTCATATTAGTAGCACATATTTGATAAAATGACCAAAGGGAGGGATATGAAAGAATCAACACTTAATAATAATCTGGATGAGAGTAGAAAGACTACAACTATGTTTGGTAACCAAATAAGTTAGCTTATAAGCTTCCCGTATTTAAATAAGTCTCGTTTGGTAGGACGAGATTTTTTTAAAAGCTCGAGCTTATGAGATATAAGCTTCTTTGGATAACTTTTTGAAATTTTTATTTCAGCTGCTAATTTTACCAAACACTTTTATCAATATAAGCTAGTTTTTCAGCTATAAGTCATAAGCTATAAGCTCGAATATCACTTATAAGCTATAACCTAGCTTTTGAGCTAGTTTTACCAAACATAGCCTACATGTGGCACCTCAACTTGACCTTAATTTATTTTTGTTATGCTTGGTAGCCTGCTTACATCATCTCTATCTCTGACTTAATTTTTATTTTCTTTTTTTCTCGTTTTGCTTTCTTGTTTTTTTCTCCCTTAGGCTGTACTTCTAATCTCACTATTTGTACCAAAATTTTTCAGATAAAGCTTAAAAACATGCTTTACCACACCGCACGAATTAACTGCCTTGCTTGGTCTCCCGATAGCACCATGGTTGCTACTGGCTCACTCGACACTTGTGTAATCATATACGAAGTGGATAAGCCTGCATCGAGTCGTATAACTATAAAGGGAGCTCATCTAGGTGGCGTTTATGGATTGGTTTTCATTGATGAACGCAATGTAGTCAGTTCTGGTGAGGATGCTTGTGTCCGTGTATGGACGGTAACACCTCAGTAAGTAACTAATGGGCAAATTATTCAGTCTTTTAGTTTTTCGATTCATGGTTTTCTCTGAATATGATTTGGGGAAAAAAAGGGTCGTGTTTAGCGTTATTTTTCTTTCTCTACGCCAATGCCAAGTGCAGATGCAAACGATAATTTGGTGGTGCACAATGGATTCTCGTCCTAGAGGATTCGGGCCCTTTCCCTTTGTTTTTTGTTTGTTTTTATTGATGTGTTATGTTTTTTGGTGTTTCTGGGTTCTCCCCCTTTTGCTTTGGTGCATGTTAAGACTTGAGAGGACGATTTGTAATTTTGTTTCAACTCTTGGTTTTTTGGCAGTGCTGTAATTAATTTCTCGAGTGATGTAAGTGAAAAAATTCACCATTTTTCTTGATTCGGTTCTCATATGTCCACCAAACTCATTTAGTTTGTCAGAGTCAATGCAATTATTTTTTTAACCAACTTTTCTTTGTACTTTAGAGCATCTCTAATCGTACATAAATTGCTATGTTTTATTGCCATGTGGTTCAATAAATCCTATGAGACTTTCAAAATGTCTAGAAATCTTTCTAGATAAAGAAGTAATTTTAAACATCATCTATTATATATTATATTATTTATCTCATATCCAACCAATTATAATCTTATACACGTTAAATTATACTAGAATTGACATTAATCAGCGGTGATATAATTTTTAATTTTCTTTCTTCATACTATTCATCTCCAAATGAACAATATGCAACCAAGATGCTCTTATATGCAACTGAAGATGCTCTTTCTCCATAATTTATTTCACTTTTTATCAAATCAATTTTAATTATTTTATTTCAAATATTATTTTAATATCCACCAAAAAACTTATCAAATTACCTTTTTCAAATTAATCATATGATTAACCAAAAAACTAGTAGAAAACTATTTTTTTTTTTGGTATACAAACAAGCCTTAAAGAAAAAAAGTAAGACGAATAATATATTTTACGAAATATTATTATTTTTTTATTTCATATGACATAAATATTGGATGAAAAATTAAAATGAAAAGTTTATGTACAATTTCGATAGAAGTATAACGAAACGGAAAAAAAGCACATGCCTAGGTATGTTTTGTCACTACGATTAGAGCTGTCAAAACGGTTTGGGCTCGTGAGCCAGTCTGCCCAGCTCCGCCAAAGGGGCGAATTGGGCCCGATTTTTCTAGGCCCGCTTAAACGGGCCAGCCCGCGCATCCCATCCGCCCACTTTAAAAAATCAGAAAAGGAAAACTAAAAATCGAAGTTCACTTTTATCCCTTCCGCCCACCTCCGACCTCCGACCACCGCCTCCACTTAAAATCCACGTATTCGGCCGCTGATTTTCTCGTCGAAACTCGAAGTCGGGCTGACTATTTTCCAGTTGAAGCTTGACGGCGCCGGAATCGAAATATATGCTGTCAGGTATTGTCAATGCATTCGTATTTCCGGTTGAAGCTCGACGGCACCGGAATCGAAACCAGTGTGTTTTGATTGTCATCGGCTGTTGTGTTATCTTTCTCGATGGTGTGTCAGGGACTGATGTTTGACTGCTTGTGAACTTGTTGCTACATTGTGAATTTGTACTTTATGTAACTGCGTGGCCCATGCGCGGGCGTGTTGGGCCTCCATTTCTCAGGCCCGCCCCACCCCGTCAATTGTCGGGCCCGCCCCGTTGCCCGTTTTGACAGCTTTGCCACTTAATACTCATCGTTTTCACAGATTCGACTTTGAATAATTCCCTTTCAGTGAAGAAATCCTGTGAACACATCTTCACCACACTATTAGGAGATTTTGGGTTCTCGTTTTTTCATCCTAGATCTCAAAGGTAATTCTTGACCTGTATAAAGTTACACAAGATTGTGCACATCTTCTGTTTGACAAAACGTCGATGGCAACATAACATTTTCGTTTTAGTGAAGAATCTACAAATCGGTTTAAATGAGGAGCGCGCGTGTGTGTTTGTCTGATATTTACAGTAATTTCAGTTGTTGCTGGAGATTAAGGGTAAGGATTATAGAGTGTCAACTTGTAAAATGTCAGGTTAACGGGTTGGTTTTGGATTTGTGTTTACATCAAACCATTTTAATTTCATGAGTTTTATTCCTTGTAGGTTGCCTCCAACATTGAATCTGTTCTGTTCTTTGTAGAATGCTGAAGACATCATTCTTTCCTTGCCGAGTAAGCTTTATCATTTGGTTTATTTGTGTGAATATATTGGCCTGTGATTAAAATGGTTTATGGTTTATATCTGTATGCTCAAAGTTCATATCTTGGATTTTGTAATTAGGGAAGTGCTATTGGTGCCTTCTCCCCATCATCTATCAAGGTGAGGTTTTGCAATCTATGGCTTGTTAATTATTTATAAGTTCATTTCTTCGTTATTCTATTAGTTGCGCACACGAGTCTCTTACTTGTGAATGATCTTTGGCTTCGGGGATGGTTATTGATTATCGTGTTCATTTATCACAACCTTACATAACAGTTATCATCTGCTAGAGGAGCCACTAATTCTAGGATAAATATGGAGCTTTCAATCACACGTCCCGATGACTGGCATCTCCATTTGCGTGATGGTGAACTTCTTGAAGCAGTTGCCCCTCACAGGTTGAACCGCTTAAATATTATTTATCAAGAGCCTCGGATATCTGGTTAAATTTTTTTAAGCTAAATTTAACATAGGCTGTGATTAATCATTTATTTCCCTCATCTGGTTCTTTTTTTTTTCCTTTTTGCCTTTTGATCCCAAATTTTATAAACCATTACACACACAGTGCAAATTGCTTTGGAAGAGCTATAGTCATGCCAAACTTGAGACCTCCCATCACCACAACAGCTGCAGCCATTGCCTACCGCCAGTCAGTTCTGAAAGCTCTCCCAGCAAATAGCGACTTCACTCCTTTGATGACCCTTTATTTGACGGATAATACCAGCCCAAATGAGATTAAATTAGCTAGTGAGTCCTATTTACTTATGTTGCATACTTACAAGGCCATGCATTTTTGGTGTTCTGTTTCATGTCTGAGTTCTTAATCTTATATCAACGTATGTGAATAGTTGATGGAACTGTGGTATACATTGACTGGATCATCATTTTTTTTTCTTTTCCATCTGTATGCATTTTCTTCTTTTTGGCAATTTATGTGAACTTAAAAGGCTTAGATGAGTCAGAAAATATTGTTCGAAAATCTTTTACCTCGAAAAGAGCTGATGGGGTGCATTAAAACTCCAACTGATTAGAGTAATATTCTTTAAAGTTTAATCTTACCAGATTCTGTGTTCATATTAATGGATGGAAAGAATGATTGGTCATTAATTCAGGCAATAACTGTGTTTTGGTTATGTTAAATTTGAGGAAATATTTCAAGCAACCCACAAAATAATTATGTTCTTATTGGAATCTAGACCTTAATTCTCCCAGAAATTTGTTCTAGAATAGATAGATAGACAAAATTGTAAACAAATGCAATGGAAGATGGATATTTTATTACTCTCTGTTTTTGGATTCAACAAGCAGGGCTATGCATGATTAATATTCTATTGAGTTATATAATTTATTTTTCTGCACTCTAGTACATGACACTAGTAGCTATTGTACAGGGGAGAGTGGAGTGGTATTTGGTGTGAAGTTGTATCCAGCTGGCGCTACTACGAATTCTCAAGATGGTGTGACAGATCTATTCGGAAAGTGTTTACCTGTTCTAGAGGAAATGGTTCGGCAAAACATGCCGTTATTGGTGAGTTTTTTTTTTTTCTCTATGTTTGATCGTGTTTACCGCTTTAATAGTTTGCAATGCATAAAGTAAGTAAAATTCACCTCTTCAGGTGCACGGAGAAGTAACAAGTTCTGATGTCGATGTGTTTGACCGTGAAAAAGTCTTCATTGACTCGGTTCTTATCCCCTTAACTCAAAAGCTTCCACAGCTGAAGATTGTCATGGAGCATATTACCACTATGGATGCTGTAAACTTTGTCGAGTCTTGCAATGAAGGTAAGTCAACGTTTGTGCTGCACACTTAACACTTTTAAAATTTCTTTCTAAGCAAAATGCTGCTTTCAATTTTATTCTCAAGAGTTTAATTTCTGTTATGTTTTTTTAGGATTTGTTGCAGCAACTGTCACGCCACAACATCTCGTTTTGAACAGAAACTCCATTTTCCAAGGAGGACTTCAGCCTCACAATTATTGCCTTCCAGTACTAAAACGAGAGACACATAGTACGCCTTTTTTTTTTAATCACCTTAAGTGTATGAAAAAAACTGATTATCGTTAACTTCCTTATGCACTTACTCAAATTACTTGCTTATCTATACATTTGTCAATTTTGTTAGGTGGGTTTCTTCAGTAGTTTATGCTATTTAGTCTTGTATTTCCAATTTTATTTATGTATTTATTTATTTATTTCAATTCGGAGCCTATCCTTCGTAATTAGAAGTCAATCTTCTTCACTTGTCTGCTATTTCTTCTATTTGCTAATATATCACTGCACGGGTTGCTAATTTGCTGGTCATTTTAGGACGTGCAATTGTGTGGGCTGTCACAAGCGGAAGTAAAAGATTTTTCCTCGGTACTGATAGTGCTCCTCATGAAAGAAGAAGAAAAGAGTCTGCTTGTGGATGTGCAGGAATATATAATTCCCCTGTGGCCTTGTCGGTTTATGCCAAGGTCTTCGAAGAGGCAAGTAACTTCAAAACAAAAAATCAACTTTACGATGACATACTTTGGTAAATCTAGCTGATAAGCTAGCTTATAACTTTTAAACGAAATTTCGAACTTATAGCTGATAGCTTATGACTTATGGCTGAAAAGCTAAGTTTCTATGATAAAAATGTTTGGTAAAATTAGTTGATAAGCTAGCTGAAATCAAAATTTCAATGGACTTTATGTGAAAAGCTACCTAAGGAAAGGCTTATGAGATAAGTTCAAGCTATTATAAAAACTCGTCCTACCAGACTAAGCTTATTTATATACAAGAAGCTTATAAGCTATTCAACAACCTAAAAGACTAAAAATAACGCCTATCATGAAAATTTGAGTTTATATATGATTTTTATCATCACTATCCAAAGTGCAACTTGGTAATTGTTTTCAGGCTGGTGCACTGGACAAGCTAGAAGGATTTACGAGCTTTAACGGACCCGATTTCTACAATCTCCCTCGAAACAAGTCAAAGATCAAGTTGACCAAGACCTCCTGGAAAGTGCCTTCTTCGTTTTCTTTCTCATGGGGCGAAATTGTTCCCATGTTCGCTGGTGAGACACTCGAGTGGAATATTTCGAACACTTCCAGTTAGAAAGAACAAAAGAATATTTCAATTTCGAAACACTTCAGGTTAGCTAGCCCTTCTTTTAACTTGGTTTTGAGACTTTTGTTTTGTACTCCCTCCTTTTTTTTTAATTTTTTTTTTTTCAATAGATGTCGTTTTGAGAAGTTGCACACTAATTAAGAATATTTTTTTGCCAATAATAACCCTCATTAATGAGGATAGAGATGAATGTTTTGAGAAAAAATAAAGAGTGAATATGAAGATACGTAGTGTATTTATAAGGTAGATAAGGATAATAATGGAAAATATGTACAAAAATTCCAAAACGTCATTTATTTAGTCAATTGTTGATAAAGTCAAAATGACATTTATAAAAAAAAAGAGGTAAAAAAAAAGAGGTAGTAACATTTTTCATACAAGTTAATAAGATGTATGTTGATGATTTCAAATTGCCATGAACATAAACATCATGTCTCTCTCATTTATTACAAACCAACAAACATCATCACACAACATTCGGACATAAATATAAAAAACTAGGATCAGTATAGTTTTCAATTGTGGTGCTTTCGGTTGGCCAAGGGTTCACGATGAGCGTTGAAATAAACGGTGCAAACGGGCATTCCTAGGTTAAAGCGCTGTGCAAAGGCTCGTGTGTTGAAATTCGAGCGGCTTTGTGGGGCCTCCAATATTCCGATTCCGAGCCTCGTGTGTTGCCGGAATAGAACTAATATGTACCGGTGAATCCCAACCGTCGGCTTTGGGCCCACATAGGCCAAAATCTCCTTGCCTACATATATATACATTATACACACACACATTAATGAAAATATTGATTTTATATGTATAGACTTAGGATTTGATTTACTTTGTCAGATTGATTTATCAGCTGGCTTAACGAATCTATGTGTCGAACAAAATTTGGATCGTTGATTTTGGTGGAAAAAAAGAAAAATTGTAGTAAAAAGTAGAGAAAACACTGGACTTAGAACATGGAAATTTAATTATGAGATTTTAGGGTAAATGAAATGATAGTCAATTTACCTCGAGTTACATTGGAGCAGCCTGGAATGTCTGTAACAATCCTGCAGGAATGTAAAAAAAAAAAATAGTTGATTTGAATTGGTTAATTGAATTTAATATAATTAATTGGGGCAACATTGGAATTTATGCTGACCAGTGAACCCACTCTCTCAAGCTTGGCTCACTTGGACTAGGAGCATCAGGATCTGNTTTATAAACTGGAATGGTTAGCTGTGTTTGATCAACAACCTAGCAAAGAGCTCATTTCTCAAAAATATAAATAATGCCCCTACAATTTTGCATATTCATGCATTTGCACCTTTATTTAGCTAAAAAGTTATCAATTACCCCGTTTAAGTTTGAAACTCAATGACACATCAAGATTCGAACTTCAATAATAATAATAATAATAATAATAAAAGAATTAATTAATAATGGATGTTCACCAAGGTGTAGAGCTCGTCGGAACTTCCGGCAACGGTGACTCTAGGCTGCTCGGCTGCCACAGATGGCTTGATATTGCAGCCATTGTTGACGTGCTTCGAGGCGTAGTAAACGGACATCGACACGCTCGGCACGAAAAAGTCGACCACGTCACCTATGACTCGACCGACGACCAATGGATCTACATTTGCACCCATTTTTTTATTTTTATTTTTTAAAAAATTATCTATTATTGCATATATATATGTATAAATGAATATATATTGAGGTTTTTTATAGGCCCGAAAAAAGTGAGTGAGGGCTGAAAAGAGGTGCAACATAGAGTACATGCAGTGGGCAAAGGGAAAAGCAATGCGCAACGTGTGTGTTTGTGTATTCAATTATTGATTGTGGCTAAGCATTGGAAATTTCACCACCACCAAATGGTTATTTGGCTTTTGAGTTTTTGACGCGTTGGTTTATGATATAGAATTATTTAAATATTCTTAATAGATTTTGTAAAAAAAAACAAAAACGAATTCGAGCGTTTGAAGTTTTCAACTTTTCATCGAGTCGATTCCTAAAAATGTTTGTTTCGTCAAGCTCGAGCAACAATTAAAAAGTTCATGCCTTGCTCGATTAGTTTGCAGTGTGTGTGTGTGTTATAAATTCCAAACACATTTTTTTCAAGTGCAATATCATATTTATTAAATTTAAAAGTATAACTTTTTTTTTTTTTTTTTTNATTTTTTTTTTTTTTTTATCATTAAATAAATTTGTATTGATCAAAAATGAAAGTCATACAACCGAGACGGCTATCAAAGCGTAGTGGGTAGACACAGGTCGTCTCCTCACTCGCAAGAACCAAAATAAACGAGGCCAACCACAAGTCGGGTGCTCACTCGAAGAAGGGGAAACAATAGACTTCTTCTCCAATAGCTCACACACTTTGCAACAACCAACTCAAAACATTTCAAAATTCAAGGCCAAAACATCTCCTTTCGAATTCGGCAAGAACACTCGGGTAGATAGCAAAGATAGTGCGGTAAACATGTGTTTTTACCTTTCTAATCACGAGGCTTGGAGGTTGACTTTCGCCTTCAAAAATCAATCTATTGCGTGCGTTCCAAATGAAGTAGACGGTTGCCGCAAGCGCAGCTTTCTTCAATTTGGCTCGCCAAGTCGTACATTTCCCTTCTTTTTTAGTCCATTTGAGGGCGCCTTTAAGGGTAGATGGCATGTGACGGAGGCTAACCCAAACTCTAATTGCACTCCAAATCTCCAAGCTATAGGGACACTCGAAGAAGAGATGACTCGAGGATTCGTTTGCGGTACCACAAAGGAGGCATGTGGGGTCTTCGTTGAGGAACTCCAATCTATCCTTTGTTTGGAGCCTATTCATTACGCCGAGCCATAAGATGAAAGAATGTTTAGGGGTATTGCAACTTTCCCAAACAAATTTTAAGGTACATGCAATAAAAGTATAACTTTAATTTATAAGGTACATGCAATTATTTTGTTATTTCAGACACGAAACATTGATTCAAATTTTTGGTTGAAAGCTTCATTATTATAATTTTATACAACAATAATAATCCAACACATCATATAATTCGCAGATTAGAATTCTTTGATAAAATCGTTTTCAATTAAAATTTATCATAGTTTTATTAACTTCCTTTCTGATTTATATATATACATAAAATCAATTTTTTATTTTAAAAATAGATGTAATTATGTTTTATTTTATTTATTAAATATCAGCCTCAAATAAAAAATCCATTATAGGATGCTATTGAAAAATGGACACCATCTAAAAATATTATTAAAATTTCACAAAATGATACAATATCCATTTCTTTCAACAAATAAAAATCATTTTATTTATTTATTTATTTATTTATACTTTGGTTGCCCAAAACAGCAATCCACATTGCTTGGGCAAATGTCTATAAACAGTATATCACTTAGTTTGTTTTTCAGTATTTACCATTACCAACTTCTCATCAAACAATTTTTGCACCAAAGGATCTTATCCATCCATGTCACATATTCAGTAAACTGAAACTTAAAAATGCCTCAAGAAACAACTATGCATATTTTCAAACTTGAAATGTCACATATATTTTATGTTACAAATGATCGACCCGCTTAAAAAAATTACGCCCGATTCGCATAACAATTTTTCCATCACAAAATAGCTATAAACAAAAATTGGCCCCACATTTAAGATCATGATCATGAGCTGCAACACTGTATAATGTTTTGCTAATATCATCATTTTCCTCCCAACCTCATTCGATGTTAGACGATACCATGAATTTGTAAGACGGGTTGCGTAAGACACGGACCAAATATACGTCTAACAGTCTAACTAACAAACTTAAAACCAAACTTTTAAGAGAGTCTCAAGGCCATCTCCTGAAGCAATGCCCTTTTTTGTGCAGCGTTGATAACATTTGTGGTCTCCGCATTTTCAAGTACATCTGCAATAATGGCAGNGGGAGAGAGAGAGAGAGAGAGAGAGAGACCTGCCCATGATGTGAAATGGTTAATGTACAAGGCTGTTGAAACCAAGGTTCTCCATCAACTTGAACAGGAAAACCAGCTAAAAGCTGAATCTTAATCGACTGCCCTTGTGCAAGCCTGCGTGCCCGGGATAGTCCAACCTGGTTAATACAACCCATAAACAATATTTAACCGACCTTTTTTTTTATCTGATTGCGATTGGCAAAAAAAGGTGGTTTGATTCGATGGTGTTTTCTTATATGAATTGGTGCCACATATGCATCAAAAGATTAACCAGCTAACAGAAATATGGGTTTTCAAGTGAAGAAGCCAAAAATCGTCACGTGCAAAAGATTACACGCCAATATAATCCGTACCTGCAGCTTTCCCAGATGCCATGTGCCTGAAATGCTGACCACTTCAAGAACTTTGTCGTGCATTGACTGAGGGTCGAAATTTTCATAGCTCTCATCTTCATTCTTCCACAAGTCAACACCACCCATATAACTCCCGATATTAGCGACAAGTACACCTTCCGCATCCTATAACAAGATTTAAGCAAATGACATTTGTTATGAGAAAATGTTAAAAATTAACAATTTTGGCCAGAAAAAATATTCGGAATATGATTTGCTGGTCAAAAGGCAGTTTTAGTTGCACATACCTCGGGAACCTCAACCTCAACACCATCAACATCAACCCGAACTTGCCAAGGGAAGTCAGCAAATGTCCTATCCATGATACTCTTAGCGCCTTCTCTTGCATACAGAACTTTATTCATGAACTGCAACAATATTTGAACAACTTCAGCTCTAGGATGGAAAAATATTAGGGGGTGATTGGAAGTGGGTTATTTTGGTTTTTTTTTTTTATTTATTGTATAAAGTGAGTTATTTTGAATATAGCTGATTGGGTGGGATTTTGAGTTTGTATTAAAATGATGTAAAAGTAAGAGGGGGGTGATTGGAAGTGATGTTTAATTAAAATTATGTGAGTGATTGGAAGTGATGTTTAATTAAAATTATGTGAGTGAATGAATAGTGAATTAAAGTTGATGTGATGCATGAGGATGATTGATTGATATTATTTAGTTATATTGATAATATTCAAGAAAGTTGGGTTGAGTTAAGTTTGAGTTAGATTTTGAGTTAAAAAAAGTGTAAATGATTGACTGAGTGAGTTTGAGTTAAAGAAACTCACTTCCAATCGCCCCCTTATCAATCTAACAACTTAGCAGCATTTAAAGTAGACAAACCGCAATCAGCTGATTTTCAAGGTTTTTAGAGCAATAACCAAAAACATTGATTGAGCAAGAATCATGAGAAAGGGTACTGTGATATAGGCTAAGGCTGTAAATTGCAACTCGACTTCTGTTAAATAATTCCAATAGTTTAAGGCTCTACTACTATGAGAAATATTTTACGCTTTCACAAAGAACAAAATCATTGCAATAATTTAGGAAGCATGTGATATACACCACTTCCCTAACTGCAGAAATAAATAAATAAATAAATAAAAACCCTAAAATTCTGGTTTTCTGAAGCCATTTCCACCGACATCAATAAAAGGTGCATCTACCTGATTGTAGAACTTCTCCGGGTTTTCTTCTCTCATATTATGGATTTCCAGAGCAACTTTTGCATCACATCCGACCCCTACAGCAACAGCCATTATTCACAATGATATGATACACACATCATTTATCAATTATATTTAATCTGCATAAATTCCAAGTTTAGCATGCAAATCTACTTTACAGAAGGTCACAGTTGAAGCTACGGTAAAATGAGAAGCCAATCAAAACCCCCGAAGTAAAATATGCCAAAGATATGTTACCCCGACATAAAATACATAATAAATGACAGAGAAAACAGCTCAACCGTTATCTCTGTTAGAAGATAATGATGCAATTTTTCACGTACTCGTAGAGAAAACTTTTTGAAGTCTTTGTAATTTGTAAAACCGAGTAACAACAAATAAAAACTCAACGCGGACAAGAAGTAATTGCCAAAAACATACCAAGATAGTTGTTATAAATATTGAAGACCAAAGATGTTTTCCTTGCTATCATTTATCAATTATATTTAATCTCCATAAATTCCAAGTTTAGCATGCAATGCTACGTTACAGAAGGTCACAGTTGAAGCTACGGTAAAATGAGAAGCCAATCAAATCCCAGAAGTAAAATATGCCAAATATATGTTCCGCCGACATAAAATACATGATAAATGAAAAGAGAAAAACAGCTCAACCATTATCTATGATAGAAAATAATGATGCAATCTTTCACGTTCCCCGACATAAAATACATAATAAATGAAAAGAGAAAACAGCTCAACCATTATCTCTGTTAGAAAATAATGATGCGAATTTTTTCACGCACTCGTAGAGAAAACTTATTGAAGTCTTGTAATTTGTAAAACCGAGTAACACAAAAATTTGTGATTGCCAAAACATACCAAGATAGTTGTTCATAAATATTGAAGACCGAAGATGTTTTCCTTGCTGGTTTAAGATCGATACCTTCCATCGATCAAGAATAGTAACAGCAGCATTCTCAATATGATCTAGAAGGGTGCATAGACCTCCCTGCCTCTCAACCGAGCGCAAACCGCCTCCCCAAGAAAGAACTCGGGCCAAATCATTTCCTGTTCCGGCAGGAAGAATGGCCACTGGTGGAGGAGAAATAAAATTTTGCTTGTCTATGGCATTCAATACCCACCCAACAGTACCATCTCCTCCACAAACAAGTACACGGAAATGGGGCACTTTTCTAAATAAGTTAAGTCCGGCTTCTGGTCCTTGAGTTGAGCTTAACTCAAAAACCTAAAACAAATTACAAATGGGAACAATGATGAACAATGATTATTGACAGAAACAAACGAAAACTTGGTGTAACAGGAATATGAGTTAGAAGTTAGAACCCAACAATTCACACAGAGAAAGATAACGAATGATGGCAGGCAAAGAAGTATCCAAAGGGTCGGGGGATCAAGACTTTCATTAAGGAAAGAGCACGAAAGTCCATTTAGACTTATTAACTTTCATAAATACAGAACAATCAATTTCTTCATCCCACCAAGAAGAATCAGTAAAAAAGTAACCACTCGATACCTTGCTCCCAATTAATCCGCATAAATTGAGGTCCATATAATATAATACAAATGGATTTCTAAAGATTAAGATCTTGCTGCTACTCTTCATCTCTATGATAGCAGTTATATCTTTAGATTTTTTTTTTCTTTTCTTTTTTTCTTGTAAATGTCAGTAATGGAGTATACTTTCTGCGAAGTATATCATACATAGCGTCACGTTCTCAACCAACAAATGAACAACGAAAAATATTTCCATGCATTTAAAACCTTTATTCAATTGATTACTAAATTACATGATCTCCCATGATATCTATAAACATACAATCAAACCAACAACAAGGCAATTCCAGGTAAAGTAGGACCTAACAAAAGCTCTAACCTGTACAGGATTCAGAAGAATGTTCAATCTGAGCTTCAGCGAATCTCCTCTCTGGGCCCCACTCTTTTTGTTGATAAACACCAGAAGCGGCCTCGCATCTGGAGGCAGATCAACCAGTTCATACTTCTGCCTCATTCCATAAGAGCCGTCCTTATGATTAACCGATGAGCTTCTCTTAAAACTCCCTTCCTTTTCCATTTTTTTTATTTCCTCATGCAGATGATCCGAATTCTCCACATTTGTCCCGCCATTGTAACTATCTTCTATTCTCCGAGGACTGTTGACCGTCTCACTCGCATCCCCGGAAGCTTCACTCATATTACTACTATAATTACCGTTCTCACCAGAAAACTCATTCCCATGCTTATTATACTTCTTGCTCTGACTTCTAATACTCGCACGTACAGAAGAAGCAATCTCATTAGCTCCTTGAGTGATGGAACTCAGAATTCCTCCAGAATAATTCAGCTGCTTAACGTACAATGGAGAAAGGACGATCCTTTTGTACGGGCCAAGGTCACAAATATCACCAGTCTCACTCGACAGGCTACTATGGCAATCGACATGCACCAAGCGCTGGCACCACAGGCAGCACCATATTGGAGACCCCCCAAGGAAAAATCCACTGCACGGCTCCTCACAGTAGCTACAGAATGAGGACTCGTCTAGCTGGTCAGTTACCTCTGTCCACCTCACTGCCCATTGGTGGACCACATGCTTGTAGCCGAACATTGAAATGCACTTGCAGTCTTTGTGGGCATTAGAGGAGCAGTTCACGTGAGCAGCCGCACCACATATACTGCAATGGTGTACGAAACTATCTGAAGCAACTATTGGGCTGAGAGTCTGGGAAAGTGAAATGGGCCTAAAGCAAACACAGCAGTTTAAGCTTTTTCCCCGAGTGACTGATTCAAGAACCCAAGTGTGGGGAGCTACTGCAGATTTGTTCTTTGCTTTCGGGTTTTTCTTTGACCGAGCTATGGCTGACATCCAGCTAAGACTAATGTTTCTTCTCCATTGGAAAGCCGTGTAGAAAATAGTTAAGATTCCTACCAAACCGGCAATGAAGCAGGATATAATGAACAGATATGATTCCGTCATTTCGGATGAGTTTTTAGTTATCCAGTTGGGAATAAGAGCTTCTGATTCCCTGTAATCATCCATGTTTTGGAATTTAATGCTTGCTCCGAAGGTCGAGCTACATCCACATTCGCAGTTGAGGACAATGGAAGATTTGGATTTTCATTCTATAACGTCAACTGAATTCGACAGCTCTACTTAGAAAGACGTGCGCTGAAATACGATGAAACTTTCTTCATCAGAGGTACGCATAAACAAAAAGTCTTAATGAAAAAGCAACGGACATTAGTAAGAAGTGAGAATGGCGTGTGAGTGGACTCACATTAATACCCACAAAAATACGTGTCAATCATGCCCCGAGCAGTTTCCTGACATTTTTCCACAATTTTAACAATCGGAATTTTCTACAACAAGAATGTGTGCAATTTTCTCCCTCAAGTAAAGTAACAAGAGGATAGATCCGCTATTTTTAACATTTTCATGTTCATTATATAGAAAGATCACCTGCAGTAAGATACACCATATCCAGTTTACATGTAACAACATAATTTATAATTTCCACACTTCCAGAGGATCAATAGAACCGTCAAAACAACTCTAATGGCTCAACCAGTTTCAACATTCATCTTACCCTCGATTGCAAATCAAAAATAGTTTCAGACAAACTTTACCACTCGAAAACATAAGGAAATAATAAATGTGCGCGTGCGTTAAACGTGAAGCAACCCCATCAAAATGAAACTCAAACCGGTATCGTCACTCATCTTAGCCTCGATTGCACATCGAAAACAGTTTCGAACAAACTTCACTACACAGAAACATAAGAAAAGAACAACACAGCGCGTGCCTCAATCGCGAACCAACCCCATCAAAAACGAAACCCAACTAACAATAACCAGCAAATAGCCCTAAAAAACCAAAAATTACCGGCGGATTTCGCAGAGATACTTACAGGGTGATCCGAAAGCGGCCGGTGAAAACGAGTAAACCCTAGAAATAGCGAGGAGGAAATATGGCTTTCTCCATTAAGAAAGGACCAAATACGCGCGAGCGGTGAAAAGGGAAAAAAAAGGGCACACAAAAAGGCAAAAATTGTTCCACCAAAGCTATTATTCTGTGCGAGTTTAAAATCATACGAACGCCATTTTCATCAAAATCTTGACATTGTTTGATCTTTTTTATTACGCAAACTTTTTGGGAGATTCTACACAATGCAGGTTCCCTGTGATGTGAACACACACAAAGGTGGGTTCTTGGGAAAATGGAATATGAGGGGGACACGTGGCGGAATAAAGAAGCCCCAGATTTGCAGGTGGGACCCACTTAAATGGGGGGGCCAGCCATCCTTGCTTGTTGCTTTCAGTGAAACAGTAATTTTTATAAATGATTTATTTTTTAGATTTATTGGTGACGTCAATCTATTTAAATGCTTTTGAGAAAAGGAAATTTGTAGAAAAAATAAAATAAAATAATGTTTTCAATACAAAGTAATATAGTATAATAAATAATCATAATAATCAGTAGTGTATTGTTATGGTGGATAAATATATGAATTTTGTTATATATCCAATTGTATCTACCTCAAAATATAATATATTTTAAATGTACTTTCATAATATCCTAAATTACTGATTTTTAACAATCTTTTGTTTAGATAAACAATTGCAATGCAGTTTTTGCATATTCCTCAAATTCCTGCCCTTGTCTTTGGGGACTTGTAATATTTATACATTTACTTCTGGAGAGTGCTAATATTACACTAAACAATGAAAAACTAATAGCCCTGATCATCAATTTTTAAAGAACGCCTGAATTTATTGAAATAAAGTGGACTTTGTTGAAATAATATTATATCTGCCTGTATTTGTGTCATTGGTCCAAACTGCAAAAAAATAAGAACTTGTAACACCATGAATACACAAAAACAGATTCATCCAAATAATTAATAAATTATTGTGAGTTTTTGAGCTTGGCTTTGGAGGATTTGACTAATAAATTCTCTAAAAAAATAGTTGTAGTTGTTTGATGTAAATATGTTTTAGTTAACCTTTTTTTTAGTGGTAATAAAAAGCTCTATATTTAAAAAAGTATCTACAAACTTCTATAGAATGACAATTTTGCCACAATAGAGTTTATATTTTGGTTATATTTAGGCTATGATTATGAAAACTAGCTGATAGCTGACAACTTATAAATAAATTTTAAACTTATGGTTGATAGCTTATCATCAATGACTGAAAAACTACATGACATGATAAAAGTATTTGGTAAAATTATTTAGGTTGTATTTGGTAAAACTAGCTGATGTGTCAGTTGATAGCTGATAAGTTAGCTTATTGATAAATGATTTTCGAGCTTTTAGCTTATGACTTGTAGTTGAAAATTTACTTAAAAAATAAAAATGTTTTGTGAAGTAGTTGATAACCTAGTTGAAATAAAAATTTCAACAAGCTTATTTGAAAGTAACCCAAATAAGCTTATGAGATAAGCTCGAGCTTTTTAAAAAAAGTTCGTCCTACCAAACGAAACTTATTTGAATACAAGAAGCTTATAAGCTAACTAAATAAACTATAAACTAACTTATTTATTAGTTACCAAACATAACCTTAATAAGCCAATTGTGATAAAGATTTCAACGAATTGATTTGAAAAGTTGTACAAAGAAGCTTATGAGATAGGCTCGAGTTTTTTAAAAAAAAAACTCATCTAAACAATCCAAACTTATTTATATACAGATGATTTATAAACTAATTAAATAAAATATAAGTTAGTTTATGGTGGTTACCAAACATACTATTAGTGTTAACATGCACGCATAGGTTATCTACAATTAATTGATTAATTAATAATTGTTATTCAATTTAACAAACTAAATTAATGTATTTATAATGAGAGATTAAAAAATGTGCATATATTGATATACTTTTATTCTTTCCTATTATTTTATTTTCTAATAAATAAATACATGAATTTAGAGTAACATCCACTAATCAAATCAATTATTTGTTATCAAATAATTCAATGGTCCAATTGCAAAGTGACAAATGCAATGTAGGGCATGATATATGATTCAAGGATTACGTTGCAATTCAACATTATTATTATTATTATTATTATTATTATGAAAAAAATACTCATTTTAAAAAGTATTAAAGGATTATATTATTGTTTGCTATTATTATTTGTTTATTATAAACAAATAATTATATCTAACAATATCATTGTTTTAACAAATAATAATAAAAAAATATTTTGTTTATTATAAACTACGTGTATATTCTTCAAAAAAGGTCCCAAAGTTGTGGCATTTTTTTTTTTAAATCAACTCAATAATCTTTTCCTCAAAACTTAAATAAATCCTGTTTCAAAACAAATAAATATGTTTTAATAATTATATCTTATTATATCATTACAATCACATTTTTTAAATTATTTATATATCCCCTCAATATTGTTTCCCTATAAATAATAATTTTCCAAAACAAATTGCAGAAGCTCGCACAGATTCGAACCAGCATTCTCATGGAACTTCTCCATTAACATCTACGAAAGCTATTGCAAAACTAGAAAAAGCCCTTAATCCAATTTCTACTTCTGCATAGAAAAGCGTTAGAAGGATACCAGCATCCCCATAAATTTCCAAGCTTTGAAGCTCTTCGTCAAGTTACGAACGCCCCTCAATCAATTGTTCCTTTTGCTTTATTTTTTTCCCAAATTTGTTGGGTTTTGTATTGTGGGCCGATTAAAGTTCTGGGTTTGATCAATGACCTTTTTTTGAGTCATTTTTCTATAAACATTTTGTGTATTGTTAGTGTTCTACGATATCCTTGATTGTTGTTTCCTGTTTTCCTGAAAATGTGGATCAATAGAACAAGAAAGTAAGGGAATCATTTTTGTATCTTATTTGGGTTTATGTGCTTTTTATTGAATTTGTTATTTGTAGATGTCGAGTGGATTAAGTGGAGGTACAGACTCTTCTGTCGATGAAGACGATTTAGCAGAAATCAGGGAACGTTTTAAGGAGGTAAAAAATCCTGTTTCGATTGGATTGTTTAAATTTTGAAAGCGGGTCAGCAAGACAGGGAAAAGGAAAGAACATGGAAAATGAAAATGGACACTTTGGGTGCAATAGCCTCGTGTCTTGACTCTTGGTATTGTTGATATCTGATTTATTTATTTTTTTCCTTATGGTCACCAGCTTGTTCTCAGTTCAATTCTGTCCTAATTCTGAAATGAATTCTCGATTTCGTCTTGCAAGTTGAAGATGAGTTTATTATCACGAACAATGAATTCAAGGAATGTTGGTGATTGCTGTAAACTGTAATGATTTGCGAACCTATGATATGCTTGTTTTATGGATTATGTTATTTACTCGTGTGTAAGAGTAAGTGATTGACTGGTGAAACAAATTCAATATAGAATGCTCTTGAGTCTTCATAGCACACTGTGCTCTCATATCTATTATTTCCTTTCTGGCATGCCTATTTGTTATTTTACTCATTTAATGTTTCTTCTTCCTTTTTTGTTATACAGCTGACAAAGGAGAAGGAGATGCTGAGAGATTCGAAATCCGAGAGTTTTGATCTAATCAGAGTATTTCTTTAACTTTCTTTTAATTACATTCTGATATTGTAAGGTAGCATCATAAAAAGCAACTCTTGTAGAATGTTTGCCTTTCTGTGCTATGAAAAGCATCGTATATTGTTTAAGTGTCTTCGCCTTATTAACTTTTATGCGTGAATCATGGTTCATAGAATATATATATCTAATGTTGTGAGTACCTTTGCTGGGTTTGTCAGAAAATATCAAAGTTTAGTGTTCAACTCAGCAAAATCTTCGTTTTGTCCCAATTTGAGATGCTTTTGGTGAACCTTGTGTCCTGTAATGCATCATTAATGGATTAGAGCATTGAGTATAACTGTATGAGTACTTGTAAGCGGTTCTATATTTCCATTGACAGTAAAAGTTTAAAAGGATTGCGGACAAAGAAAGAAAATAAACTTCATTTTGTGTTGATTATGGAATTCTTTAATGCAGAGACTGGAATTCCATGTTAAGACATTATCCAAATCCCGTCAAGAAGATAAGAGACGCATTGCGGATCTTGAAAGAGAACTCAGTAATTGTAGCCAAGAAATAGGTGCTGCTATCATGTGTTAATGTTTATCTTCTTTCTTTTTATGGTATTTCATGTGTACAACTCTTCAGATTCATTGTATGTGTGTGTGTAGAAAAATATCCATATATACTTTAACGTGTAATTTTACATGTGTAAAAACACACTAATTTCCTTTAGGGCGTGCTTGGATTCAAATAAATCTGCTCAAAATGTTTTTTTTTTCTTTGTTAATCAGGGTTAATTTAAAAAAAAAAAAAGTGGTATGGTTAGTTATTAGTGAGATTTTGAGTTAATGTTAAAATAATATTTAAAATAAAATAATCAAAGTTGATGTGATGTATAAGTACGAGAGAAATGATGTGAAATAATGGTTAGTTAAAATTATGTGAGTGGATGAATAGTGACTTGGAGTTGATGTGATGTGAAAGAATGATTGATTGATATTATTTAATTATATTGATAATATTGAGGATAGTAAGGTTGAGTTAAAATTGAATTAGATTTTTGAGTATGGATTGACTATGAAAAGAATTTATTGATAAACAAACCTTTAAATTGCTAACAGGGGTCACTTTGAGCTGCTGCTTATGAAACAATTTAAGGATGAATATTTCTTTTGCCTTTCTTTTATTTCAGTGTAATTGACTTCTAATATTTATTCTTAATGCTTAAAAAACATTATAAACTCTATCACAGATTACCTGCAGGATCAATTGAACATGACGAATTCGGCCCTAAGCTATTCAGAATCACGTGTTGAAAAGCTAGAGGAATCGATTTCATCCATCACATTGGAATATCAATGGGAAATAGAAAGCACGAAACTCGAGTCCATTTCATTGGAACAAATTCTTCTCGAAAGTAAGAAATTGCTGGAAGAAAAAATTCAAGAAAATTCCAAGCTGAACGAGTGTATTCAAGATCTTGAGCTTCGGAACCTGGATTCAAATAAGGTGATTGAGAGTTTAGCAAAGGAAAATAAATATTTGAGAGAAAATCTTCAAAGCTCTGATTTGAATAACGGAGCACTTGTGAGGAATGACGATGATCAACCATTATTCAGTAAATTAGAGAAAGATATGAGGTATGCCGTATGCTGAAATGTGTATATGTACCCCGGAGTGAAAGTTTTGCCAATAAATTTCATTATCTGAATTTAATAGTTATTTATTTGAATTATAAGGATGCATGATTTTTCTCGCAATCTTTTTGAATTAAAGAGTGGATTTATCCTAGTACGTTAACAATTCTTCGTCTTTCTTTCTTTATTTGCTGAGAGGAAGTCATGTCATTTTTAGTCTTTAAATCATTAATCAATTTTTTTTGAATTATATACATTTGAACCATAGAAGAAGAATTTCCTACAAAATTCGAGCATTTCATTCTTTAATTATTGTCTTATTTGAACTCCTCATAACCTACACATATAGCACTATTTTAGACCCACTATTTTCCGAACATTCCATTGCTAGAGCATCATCAGCTGCAGATTTGGAGACAAATATGGCCGATATGTCTCGACAGATAGATGATTACGAAGCCCTTGTGAGACAACTTAAGGTATGTTAAGTAAAACAGTCTTTTGTAGAAAATTTTTCTATATTCTAATAATTCNAAAGGAGAAGCATTCATATTTTACATATATGATTTATTATTATTATTTCCTTTTTTTAGTGGGCTTCCAAAATATAACCTATATATAGCTCTCCAAATATTCAGAACTTAATCGAGCCTTTTCCAGGAAGAACTAAGAGGGGAAAAGTTGAAAGCTAAAGAAGAAGCTGACGATTTGGCCCAAGAAATGGCCGAATTACGGTATCAACTTACGCTCATGCTTGAAGATGAGCGCAAACGCCGTGCAAGCGTGGAACAAATATCTCTACACAGAATAGCAGAATTGGAGGCTCAGGTAGGTGAAGGGTTTGAAGGCTATGTTTGGTAACCAAATAAGCTAACTTATAGCTTATAACGTCCTGTATTTAAATAAGCTTCGCCTGGTAAAAAGCTCGAGCTTATCTCATAAGCTTCTTTGGGTAGTTTTTAAATAAGCTCGTTGAAATTTTTATTTCAGCTAGTTTAGCAGCTAATTTTACCAAACACTTTTATCATATAAGCTAGCTTTTCAGCTATAAGTCATAAGTCATAAGTTATAAGCTATAAACTCGAAAATCACTTATAAGCTATAAGCTAGCTTATCTGCTAGTTTTACCAAACATAGCCGAAAGCAATTTCCATACTCTTTCTTGTACCAAGCTAGCCAGTTTACAAGGATGTTAGACTAACTTCTTTACGTTTTATGAAGATTGCTAAAGAACGGCAAAAATCCATCAGCTGTCAGGATCTTGTTGTCAGAAAACCATGAAATAAAAACTCCCAAGGCCTCGTAATTTTAAGTGCCTTCTTCTTCAATCAGGTCGAAAATTGTTTTCCAGGTACGGTACTGTGAAATAGTCATCTTAAATAATCTTATGATGATTTTTTTTTTCTCCTTATTTTGTTAACCCTTGAAGAAAACTTCAGCGCAGGTTCTTTCCTCACGCAATCGAGCTGTTTGAGCTTGAGTTCACAATCTGAAAGCAGATAAATTATTTTGTCATATTTATCTATAGCAGTGAGAGGCATATTGGACACGGATAGTACAGTGTCAGATAAATATTTTGTCGATAAACTCAATATGTGTGTATTCTGTATCTAAATGTCACTATCAGATGTGATTTTTTTTTCCCTTGAATTTTGCGGTTAGTATTCGTTATAGATTTTTCCTCTCGGGAATTGTTTGGTTTCGTGAGGAAACTTAGATCGACTTTATTCAGTTTGCAAAAGAACATTCATATTGGCTGTTTGAAAAGCTTCTGTGTTGGTTTCATGATGTGATGATCAAATGAGGGACTTCAGTTAAAGTTAAAGTGTGTTGTATTGTATAACATTTACCTTTGATTTTTATCAGTGAGGGGGTAAAAGTGTTCATTTTATTGCTTGTTTTGGATTTTATGCTTTGGTTTTTACTTTTTAGTCTAGCAAAGAGGTAAATTAGTTCCTGCACTATACAAAAATTGATCACAGTTTGGATCAACACAAATTCATATAGGTGATTCGATGTTGAATTGTTGATCAATCTCGAATGCTTTAAATTATTTCACTTTGACATTAAATTAACTAATTTATGAATCGTGCTATAGTGACATAAAAAATGATATAAAATTTGACATAATAACATCTGTCACAATTTTATTGCGTTACACATCATATCACTTTTAAAATCAACAACTATTAATCATTCTTTGTGTAAACATATTGTGTTGAATATCTTAATCCTTAATTTATATAGTGAAATTAATTACTCAAATTAGTTTATTAAGAAAAAAGTTACTTTTTTTTAATAAAATAAGATAGTTAAATGATATTATTGACCTGGGTTTGGGTTGACAGATTGTAGGGTATAGGTTGGAGTTTTCTAATTACACCCGCTCCGCCAAAAAAGTTGTTGCAACGGTCCAATTTTGTGTATGGGTTTTTGAATTAATTATAATAATAATACTGGAAATAACTATAATATATAAAAATTATAATATTGATCCCCTATGGTATAAAATAAAATAACTTTCAATTTGCTGATATATAAAATTAGTAGGNAAAAAAGAAACACATTTTTGCTCGAAAATACCTACTCAATAAAGTTATTATTGGTACAGGTGAGGTGACTATAGGATGTCATAAAGCTGGAAATAAATGTGGCTGGTAGAATAAATTAGACAAATTGTTCCAATATATTTTTCGAACAAAATATATCATAAAGTATTATATTTTTACTTACGATATTTTTTATTATTCAATATTTCAGTATGATAGTGCGAATATTTGATGAAAATTGTGATATTTAACTAACCATTATGTAAGAATATTGGTTTGGCATCATCCGAAAAACCTAAGTGTTTTCTAGAAGATTTTCTTGTTAGGCAAGCAAAATAAATTAAAGGGAAGTTTTCTATTTATTTACTTGTTAATTAATTAAGTTCCTATTGTTTATTATTTATAATATATGTTATATATTTATTATAATATGTATTATGGAATCCTAAACCTTTAGGAGAAGGATTACATAATATATATCCTATATATGTACTTACCATATATGCCACATGCATTAATGAGCTTGATTCTATGCCATAATTAGTTTTCTCTTTCTTGTAGGACAAGGAATAGGTGGCAAGGACTATGAAAGGATGAGCAATTCGTGCATAAGGAATTCTGGACGTTATCTAGAAGATCTAAGGAGGATTTGGAAAGATTCACCACAAGATCTTTGAAGATTTGGAAGATCGGCTATTTTAGGAAAGATGTGTTCTTACACGAGTCTGGAACCACGAAGATTTCCATTGGCAACTCAATTCTGAAGATCTCCAAATCACATACAATCAAGGAAGATATACTTTCCATGTTACTACACTATTTTTGGGAAGAAGATCAAAGGAGATCGTGAAAGAAGGAAAGAACTTGGAGAAGACTCCAAGCCTAAGGAGTTGTATATATACCCTACTTGAAGATCGAATGAAGGCTGCTGAAATCATTATCTTCCATTTAATATTCGAGCTTCAAGCCTTTTTGTTTTATTTTCGTTGTTCAGTTTTCGGTGTTCTTACGTCATCGAAGAACTGAAGTCTTTTTTTTTTTATTCTTTTGTTTTTCATTCAAACACTTGTGTGATCAGTGCTTAGGGATTAAGTACTGTCTTTAGCTCGAGGGATTCGAGAGGTAAAATCCACGGGACGTGGTCGGAGAATTAGTTGATAGAATCATGTGTAGTTGTGGCTAGGCTAGAAGGGAGTTCGAGTCGTGTAAGTCCAAACTATACAAGTGTGCACAAACGGTTTATCAATGAAAGAGCTCTGAGGGGAAGTGGGACGCTTCCCTGAAGAGTTTTTAAATCTTCGGTTTATTGTTTCCGCTATTAGAGCTCTGAGGGGAAGTGGGACGCTTCCCTGAAGAGTTTTTAAATCTTCGGTTTATTGTTTCCGCTATTCTAGTTGTTTATTTGTGTTTCTAACAAAGTTGAGCGCACTCGTTACAAAATACCTACGTTTCACATTAGACATTAAATCTTTCTAGCAAACCGCCAAATATTAAAATTATTCCAATTACAAAGTAGCCAAATTTTAAAATTATGTTTTATTTCTTACTATTTTATTTTACACCGCAAACCCACACAAAAAACTGAAAAAGCATCCCATTTATCTCTCTCTCTACACCCACTTCAAAAATCTCTTTCCCTCTCTCTCCTTCTCTCTGTGAAATGAACTGAAATTTATTTTAGCAACCGGCGTCACCATCGGAGCTCCTCCGATACGGCGTGACCGAATCCTCTCTCTGCAAATTCAGGTACCGCCTGAATATTTTTCTAAACCTATTATTTTGTGGATTTACTAAAATTCGTAGTTTTCAAAAATTCACAAAGCTTGTGTTTGTGTCTTGTAACTGCTGTTTCTTGTTATTGCTTCAGGAGATACAAGATCTCTTAGCTTGCCGCTCACAAATTCAGATAAATTGATTTTTCATATTTGGGGTGGGCTTTCTTTATTCTTGTGGATGCTTGTTTGCGATGTTTACTTGATTTTCGCTCTCAGTTGCTGGTTTGTGCGGCGCTCTATAGATTGTTTGCTTGGGTTGGGTTGTTTTGGATTTTTGTGTATTTGCTCAATTTTTCAGTTCTTTCAATTTTTTCGTTGTTGCTTGTTAAGTTGCAGTGTTTGTGTGTGACTGCTTAGATGATTTCTTGATTGTTTATATTTACTTGTTTTCTTTACTTGTGAATTGTGTAAATGTCGAATGGTGAATGGTGAAGGCCGTGTTGTGGATGCTCACAATGAGTTATGAAAATTATAAAATCTGGGTCCTTTTGTTTAGGAGTAAACACAAGTTTTTGATAGATCCGTGTCTTATTAGTAGTTCTCCTTGGTTTGGTTGCTTGATGTTGCTTTGTTATATCCTTGATTTTGTTTGGAGATTTGTTTTTAAAACAAATTCTTGTATGAGGCGCTGTTTAACCATTAGGTGGATTGACCAATCATACTTTTTTTTTTTTAACAAAAAAATGCTTACTTATTCTGTGAAATGCCATACTTTTGTTTATGTTGTTCTTTAGAGTGTGACGTTTCATTTTGAAAGTATACATATCTGTTGAAAAGTATGGTTTCTGTTTAACCAATTTCTGGATCATGTTTTTTCCCCTATATGTGTTGTTATAGTCCCTCTTATCTGTCCCTTCTAACTTCCATATGTTAAAAACCATGCAATTACCTTTCTCTAATTCGTATTTTCCTGTTTGTTGCTTGTGTTTGTATCTGTAGCTTATCAGTAAGATCACTCTCATGTGTTTTGACTTTCTTTCCCCGTTTTCTTTTTCAGGATCTTCCGTGGACCGACTTAGATATTTTTGCTTGTACAGAAATGGCTGGTCTTAACAGATCTACTGTATACATTGTTTCTAAGCAAAACTCATCTTCTCCAAGACTTCCTTTAAGTACTAAAACTAACCCTTTCGACTCTGATGATGAGTTAGATAATAGTAACAAAACACTTAAAACCTCTGGCCGAACATCTTCAGAACCTTTTCTGCACATGAGTACAAATCCTTTCGATGACAGTCCAGCTATAGGTTCCTCCTCGGCCCAGAGCTATCCTTCTTCGGCAGACAATAGCAGATACAAGAACGATTTTCGGGACTTTGGAGGAATAGAAAACCAGACAGTACAGGAATTGGAAAATTATTCCATGTATAAAGCTCAAGAGACTACAAAAACCGTCAAAAGTTGTCTCAAGCTTGCCGAGGACATAAGGGAAGATGCTACTAAGACTTTGGTCACGTTGCATCAACAGGGAGAGCAAATCACGCGAACTCACAAGGCTGCTGCTGACATCGAGCATGACCTCAGCAGGGTATTTCATTTTTTTTTTCTATGGCTTAGCCAATACTCGGGTTTGGGCATAAGTAAAGTAATTATGATAATACATGGTTTTAAGGCAATGGGACATTGTGTGTTAGAATCCGAGATATTCTCTGTCAAGGTTCTTGAGGGTCCGGTTGTGGATTCCTAATGGTCGGATCAATTTTAAGATTTCGATAATAATAGATACTAGATAACAAATTTTACCATCAAATTTATGTATATATATCCTAAACGTACTATTGTCAAACCACACTCGCGTTTAATGTCACTAGGCAAACAATGGTGATTTCAACTAGGTAGAAAACATACTAAAGAACTATATGCTTCTCAATTTTTATTTTTTTATTTTTTTTTGTTGATTTTAGGGTGAGAAGCTATTGGGGAGTCTTGGGGGATTATTCTCCAAGACATGGAAGCCTAAGATGGGTCGCTCAATTACAGGTCCTATAATCACCAAAGGTTCGTTGTTTTTCTTGTCTTATTATTAATAATTTATGTCGAGTTGTTGAGGTGAAGGGTTTTTTGTATGATTTTTTAAGACTTACGATTAATGCAGATGATCCTGTACAAAGAAAGGTCAATCACTTGGAGCAGAGAGAAAGATTGGGTTTAACTTCTGCATCGAAGGGACAATCACGTACACAAATACCACCTCCCGAACCCACAAATGCATTGCAGAAAGTTGAGGTATGTTCGAAATGTAGGTTTATTTACTATAGAACCTCACTAGTTTTGATTCTTTAGTTCCTGCTTGCTGTTATACTCGATGAGACCATTCGAAATCAAGATAATAGGGCCCTTATAAACATTTACCTTGTTAAATTTTTTGTGTAGTTTCATTTCTGAAACTTCATCTCAGACCTTCAAGATGATGTCTTTGTACGAATATGCCGATTTTTTTATTGTGTTCTAACTTGACAGGTGGAAAAGGTGAAACAAGATGATGCCCTTTCAGATTTAAGTAATCTTTTGCTGGACCTGAAGGATATGGCTGTGGACATGGGATCCGAAATTGATAGGTTTGTCGGTCTTTTTATTACCCCATATCATCTTCATCGCCTTGCATTTGCTAGCTCCGCATAATAATTTATTTATTTATTTATTTTTCAAAAAAAAAAAGCATTATTCNTATGAATGCAGGCAGAACAAAGCTCTGAGTCATGTTCAGGATGATGTTGACGAGCTGAATTTTCGTGTCAAAGGTGCTAATCAGCGTACTCGTCGTTTACTTGGAAAATAAAGGGTTTGCTTGCCTATCAGATACTGATATTCGACTATTTTGGCTTGAGCACGACACTTATTACTTCTACGGATGTTTAGCAGATTTTCTTGCGCTCGATTGTGTAGCTGTATTGAAACTTTAAACAAAACTGAGTTGATTTTTGGCTATTCATTTCATTTGTGATTAATAGAACTCTACATTTTTAGCTAAATTCGTTGTTTATGTGTTATTGAGTATGAAGCTACTCTGCCTTGTTGAGGTTTTGATCAAATTTCTGTTTTGTAAGGTCAGTTGCAAACATAGAATTTGAGATTTGTTGATTCGGGTATGATTTTCATATGCAGCACAAATTTATGACATGCTTTGTTATGAAGAGATTATAACATCTCTGTTTAACTCAAACCTCTATTTACCAAACTCACAGTCTGAGGAAAACTGAACATAACAAATATGGATAATGCATTTGATAATTGATATACACTGAACTAAAATATATATCAGCAAAATTTTCTTTTCCATAGTATCTTCAGCTTCCTTTCTCTCATTTGATCAAACCCTGTAGAATTGGAAAATAAGTGGCGTTTAATGACGAAAAAGATATGATTCTCAACGACAGTATCTAAAGAAGTAAGCTCTCAAACAAGTTGCTATAAATTATGCTATAATTGACAAGCAGAACTTACGCCGAGGCAATAACAAGAAGTCAATCAGTGTTCCAAACAGTCGCAAAAACGGGCATATACACTATCTATAAGCAGAAATACAAAACCACTTCAATTGAATCACAAAGCATGGTGAGTAAAATATAATACCTAACACCAAAGAATAGGCAAAGCAACAAGCAAATACAGAAAAATGATTTTCCCACTCCAAGTTATTGAGGAAAGGGTGGGACAAGTTCTGCCAAGAAGAAACAAATTCAAGATAACAACACACCAAATATATGATCACAGTAAGGAAAAATAAATCATTGCTCGTTAGCAAGATTTTCTTACGAGATTTATGGCTGATGATGAACCCCAAGGACATATGTTGTAATTACACTTATCTTGCGGCCACCAATCGATAGTGGCACAAATGTAAAGATCATCTGCTTCAACACATTTGGTGCTTGTGTCGATGATAATTTTCACCTCTTCGGATATTTGTGCGAAAATTGCATCGCGAAACAGAACAAAAGTAAAATCCGGAATACCATGGCCGATCAACTAAGCAGGAGACGAAAATGCAACTCGACCAACTCAAATCAACTAATACAGGAAAACGAAACATATCTCAAGCACTGGACTACTTCCAATCAACATTCCTAATTGTTATATTCCATTATTAGCACAGTTCAATGATGCCCCCAAAAGAAACACCTTTTATTTTATTCTCTTAAATTTAATGTCAATATGGTTTAACAGAACTACTAGCCAATCCAGATAAATTTTCAATAGAAACGGTTGCAAACCTTTTCCTTGTGATTGTCTATCAATAAAAAATTAATGTGAGTAAAATCCTTAAATATAAATTAGTCATCCCAATCCCAATTCCAGTACATCTGATTTATCACAGAAACTTATTGCAAACCTTTTCCTTGTGATTGTCTACCAATAAAAAATTAATGTGAAGAAAATACATCCACAACGACTACAGACACTTGCACATCAAGGTGTGAGCTCATTGACTATCTCATGAAGTTTTCGATCCAAGACCTCAGAACATATCTGGCCCATCATGTTGTAGAAAGACATGAGATCCGATAGCTGCTCGACCGTCATATTCCCCATCACGTTTCTTGCTAATTTCTCCCTCCCCTCTTTTACTCTCAACCTTTCTAAGTAGGAAGATGCATTCCTTACAGTAGCTCCCATTTGCTTTAGTCTGGTTTCTTGTTGCAGGCTCAGAGCTGTATTCGACTGCAAGTGAACCAATTGACAATTCGATCATATAGTATATCATCCACATTTTCATTTTTAAAAATGTAAGTAACAAAGAGCATGAACTCTCAAATAATTTTGTCCAGAATCAAGTTGGTTACTACCATTTCAGATGATATGCATGTGACTAAACACGACCTTTTGCTAAAAAAGAATCAAATTACTTGAGAGCCAGACATTACATATGCGACGATTTTATAGTATTGGGGACCAAAATCAGGCCAAGGTAGCTCATCATTTGCACGTGTGACTCATATTAATTTTATGTACCACCACATCTCCTCACCTACATCTACTAAAAGGAATGTGCGCCTAGTATTATGCATATTTACATTTTTTTATTTTTGTGGGTCCATTAATTAGAGTCGAATTAATAATAATGAATATTTGCGATACCTCAAGAAACTCTGCCCCAGCCTCAAGTTGAGATTGCTTAGAGGAAGTGATTGTGTGGGGATGTTGATAAATATTTCGCGCAAGCGAAAAGCTCCTGACGATAACCTTTCTTTTCTTCTCCATTTCCCCATCAAGCCTTATAGGGTTGGGCACGGGCACACTAGTAGGAATCGAGGTGGAGGTATTGAGCCTTTTGTGATAGGCAATTACTGCATTGACAAACTCCTGCATGCATCCATCAAGAAAACAAACGTAAATATGGTGGTATCCTCCGTCCTCCTTCATTAATGTAATGTAGGCTATTTTTGGTAAAACTAGCTGATATGTAATTTTGAGCTTATAGCTGAAAAGCTAGCTTATATGATAAAAATGTTTGGTAAATTATCTGAGCTAAAATAAAAATTTCAACTAGCTTATTTGAAAAGCTACCTAAAAATACTTATGAGATAAAGCTTGGGCTTTTTACCAAACAAAGCTTATAAGCTAACCAAATAAACTATAAGCTAGCTTATTTGGCTACCAAAAGGTAGGTAGGTACCTTATATGCAAAAGGGCAACCTGGGTAGTCGAAGTCCTCAGAATTGGGGCCCTCCTGCCTCATCCTCTCGGGATGGAACTGCAGGCCCATGATGAACTTGCCCTCGTTCGGACAATAAGCATCCGGGTCGTAAAAGGCCTCGACGAGTCCATCTGGCGCAAAGGCCATGGGCACGAACCTGTGTGCCAGCCTCCTGACCCCCTGATGATGATAGCTGTTGACCCATATCTCCTCCTCCATCCCGAACCATCCATGGAGTGGGGTGCCGGGGACGAGGCGTACCGGGTGCCGGTGGGCGTCGTAGTTTTGGTAGTCGATGTGGGCCACACCTCCTCTCGACAACTCCTTGTCCACGTCCTGGTAAAGGGTACCTGATGATGATGTAGGGAATCTAAAATCAATCAAATCTTATTTCATTCAAAAATCAAACTCCCCTAATAACAAAGCAGCAGAAGAGCCCTTTAATAAGAACGTCAAACTAAACCCTAGTTTATTCTCCAAACAAACTACTAATTATTAAATAATATTAATTTCTATAATAAACATACTACTACTACTACTAATAATAATCATAATTATTCTGCATCAGTACCCCACATACCCCCACATGCCACGTTTAGGAGCTGGGAGCCTCGGCAGATGCCCAAGTAAGGGATGTTACGCTCGAGGCAGAGCTTCGCGAGGGCGAGCTCTATGGCATCCTTCTCGCGGTCGAGTGCAGTGTCGGAGGCGTGGACGAGACGGATCTCGTCCAACTCCTCCGGAGAGAGGGAATGGGAATTAGCATCTCCATCTTGGGAAGAATTATTATGATTATTATTATAGAGGGATGGGTCAATGTCCTCTCCCTCGCACAAGAGGACTCCGTGAATGGGGCCGAAGCTGTCAACTAACGTGTGGACCCCACTTACGCGGGGAACTATCACGGGGACAGCGCCGTATTTTACGATTAGATCGAGGTGGTATTCGCCTGATAAATAACCAAAACCAATATATCATCACACACCATTCATTCCATATAAATCGTAATCCCAAACAAACAATCGGAATTCGAAAACTATTTTTCTTTACCTACGAAATCGACGAATTTGTTCTTGCGAACGCATCGCCTAGAGACTATTACAACGCGGGGCAATATCACCGACAGATCTGATGATGATTCTGATTCTGAAGCACCACCCATATATAAGTTGCCTTGCCTAACAAACAAAACGAACGATGTCTATGTCAATCAAATCAAATCCATCTAATTTCAAATTTCTACTAAATTATATACCCAAAAAAACATCAAGATTTATTTATCCTACAAAAATGTTGCAGAGATGGGTCAAAAAGAAATTTCTTTTCTGCAAAAGAGTATGGAAGATGGTTGACAAAAGAAAAAAGTACATATGCACAAAGCCCAGGCGCCGCTTATATGTATATATGTCTGCGGATGCCTACCTTTGGTGGAGGTCTTATCCTCACCCATCGCTATCCAAGTGCTGCCAGGTCTTATACTTCTTTATTAGCAATTTTATCTTATATTTTCAATAGACAAACTTTACCACACAAAAACATAAGGAAAGAATATAAATGTGCGCGTGCATTAAACGTGAAGCAATCCCGATAAAATGAAACTCAAACCGGTATCAACATTCATTTTAGCCTCGATTGCAAATCGAAAACAGTTTCGAACAAACATCACTACACAGTAACATAAGAAAAGAACAACAGTGCGCGTGCCTCAAACCCCATCAAAAAACGAAAACCAACTAAAAATAGCCAGCAAATAGCCCTAAAAAATAAAAAAATTACCGGCGAATTTCGCAGAGATACTTACGGGTGATCGGAAAGCGGCCGGCGAAAACGAGTAAACCCTAGAAACAGCGAGGAGGAAATATGGCTTTCTCCATTAAGAAAGGAACAAATTCGCGCGAGCGGTAAAAGAGGAAAAAAATGGCACACAAAAACGGCAAAAATTGGTCCACCAAAGCTATTGTCTATGCGAGTTTAAAAGCATACGAACGCCATTTTCATCAAAATCTTGACATTGTTTGATCATTAAAATAATATTTTCATATACAAAGTAATATAGTATAAATAATCATATAATGATTAATTAAATAGTGTATTTTTATGGTGGATGAATATATAAATTTTGTTATTGTTGTTTGTAATTAGTTCACATCAGTTAAATTAATTAATCACCCACTAAATGAGATATTGTTACAAAGTCCCAATTAATTAACGCAACTAATTAATAAAATATTTTTACATAAAGGCATTTTATCATGTTTGTTCCTGATTGATCACTTCAAATATTTTGCATAAAAGTCCAATCTTTATTATATACAAGTTATTAATTCATAAATATTTGACGATCTAAGAATGATATTATGAAAATGTTGATGATGAAAAAAAAAAATTAAATTAAAATACAAAAAAATTCAACAAATAAAGAATATTGATGATGAAAACGTTGAACAACACATACGCATACGTCAAGATTTGGTGAATCAAACAACATAAAGAAAATCTGACTAAACAATATGATTACAAAATATGAGCACTATTTTATTGAATAGGGTATATGTCGTATATGATGATAAAGACACGGTTTGATTTTTTTAGTTTTTACTAAACAAGATATTTGCTGGTAAGTGGTGTCCTTCAAAATTCCATGATTCAAATTCCAAGTACACACCCTTAGGCATATTCTATAGTTTCTTGTTATTTAAATATTATTTTATAATACTAATGGCATGATTGGTAGCAAGGAATGACATGGGAATGGAATGATTATTCCCTTACTCATTTCTTATCCCATGATTGATATATTTTTTGAGAAGGAATGACCATTCCAATGGGAATGACAAACCCATCTCCATGGGATTAGCCATTCAATAGTAAATGGAAGGTTTTCTCATTCTCATTTGTGTAGGAATCAATTTTGCTAAAAATAAAATTAACAAATAATAATAAAAAATAAATATATAATATATATTATAAATCATGATTAAAATATATTAAATAAAATTATTTTTTTTAAAAAAAATTCAAATAAAAAATTGAAAACTTACTTTTATTTATTTTTTAATTAGATATATTAAATACTTATATAAAAATGAAACTAAAAAAAACATTTATATATAATTTAAAAATATATTATTTTATTTTTATATATTATTAAAAATATATTAAAAATATATTAAACCTTTCTTTTTTCGGTATGCCGCCCCGCGAGCAAGGAGTGCCACGCACGAGCGGAGCGAAAACAAAGCAGGGGGACTTCTTCGTTGGAGAAGGCTGAACCCAGGTGCTACACTACAGTAGAAGCTTTGACAGTTTACCATGGCTTTCTCTGGGCCGTGTCTCAGTCCCAGTGTGGCTGATCATCCTCTCGGACCAGCTACTGATCATGGCCTTGGTAAGCTATTGCCTAGCACGGATACGTCGGCTGCTCCAGAACGCGACACTTGACTTGTGACTTTCCTTCAAGCAGTGAAATAGAAAAGCCACGCCACAAAAAATCCATGTCTTTCTTGGGTCCCAGAAAAGGCCTTTCGTTTTCCCCCCTTCGTTGGCCCTTGCCGCCTTCCTTAACAAACCCTCGAGCCCAGATCGGGCTAGCGAGATGGGGAAAGGCAAATGACCTACTATTAATAATATATTATTAAAATTATATTATTAAAAAATATTAAAAACATAAAATATATTATTATTTTTTTATAAATTATTAAAAATATATTATTTTATTTTTATATATTATTAAAAATATATTATTGTATTTTTATATATTATTGAAAAATAATTTATATATAATTTATTAAAAGTGTATTATTTTCTTAAAAAACTTTTATTTATTTTTATAATAAAAAATAATAATGTCATTTCATTCCAGTTCTATTCCTTCTGCATACCAAACGCATCAATGACAAAACATGTTTCATTTCATTCCCATAATCATTCCATTCTGCAATTCATTCAATTCCTACGAAATTCTATTTCATCATACCAATCATGCCATAAGAGTGTGATTGTGATTGGATATAAACTCTACACCAGAAAAATCAATCAAAATTCATATTTAATTCAACTCTACTATCTTGCATATTATCAATATAATTAAATAATATCAACCAATTATTTTTAATATTACATCAACTTTAATTCACTTTTCATCCACTCACATAATTTTAAGTAATCACCACTGTTGATATCCGAGTTTGAGCCACGAGTAACTCATAGGCCAAGACCGGCTACCCAGATGAGGATAGCGCGTGAGGTTGTTTCCCAGACCGGCATTTAGAGCACACGAAGAAACGATGTCGACCTCGGAAGAGCGCCGAACTAGAAAAGGAGATCTCGGAGACCAAGAGATGGGGATTGCTCAAAGTCGTAGTGAGAGTTCGACCTGGAGATTCGTCTAGATCGGCCCTAGCGTGCGTAAAAGACCTGACAATCATATAATATTATCACTTGTCATGTGATGATTGTTGATGGGACGCGCCACCCTAGACTGCCACCCTAATGCACCTTGATCGATGGGGCGCCCTGTCAGCATTAAATGCCCCATATGTGTGTGTGCATGACCGCGCGTCGCAACGCGGCAAAATTAAAATTTATATTTTCCTTAACCGACTTCTACCAACTAGTAGTAGTAGTGAGCATGGGTCGAACCCACAGGGAGTGTGAATCAAATTGTGAATTTTCTTGTAATAACTGAAATTATAAAAAGCGATAAATGGGGAGAGGGGGGAATTGAATTAAATCTAATCTATCTAAGCATGAAATATAAATAAGAAAATAAAAATAAAATAAATTAAGAGAAATATCTAGTTCACGGTTCCGTCTACACCCTCAACTGACTCGTCTAATCAATTTTAGTATCAAATCTCGCTATCTTATGGAATTACTAGCCCCAGGCAACCACACGGTCTGTTACCCGAATTTTTTCTTAATTTTAATTTAACTGCGAGACGCTCTACGATTAAACCTGACTTCTTGTACAGTCCAGAAAAACGTTTTCAAGATTTAATACAATTAGCCGCTTTACGAATTAGAAAAATAGGCTAGACTAAGTAGTGAACTCAACCGTGTTCGTTCACTTAAATAGGCTGTATTATCCCCGATAGTTACCATCTTCCGGTTACCTCTTATGAATTAAACACAACAACAATTACGGATTGAAGGTCTAATTCAGATGTAGATATGAAAAGCCTAATCTAGGTGCTCAATCTAAATAAGACTCAACACATCATGGTTAATTATTCAAAATAACATAAACAATTCCAAAAAGATATTGAAATTATCAACCATGAAATAAATGTTTTAAAATAACACTTATTTTGAAATGAATATAATGTAATTTCTTGTTAGTTACGTGCACCATATGAGTTGTGTACTAATTTTAAATTGACATGTTTTATGTAATTTTGCACGATATAAAATTCATATAATATTTTCAATAAATTAATATAGGTAAATTGTAATAAATATTGATTCAATTTTAAATTATAAATATTATTTAATAAGTATTTTTAATTTATAAATACTAATGAATATCTCTTGCACGGAATTCGTTTTAGTATGTAACACAAAAAGTTGACAAATATCTTATGTTGAACCAATCATTAATAACAAACATAAATGTCACGTGATCTCCAGACAAGGTACAATCTTAGCCACTAATCTTATCTACCCTACCAAACAAGGCCTATTTGATTGCTTCTTAGATTCACTTGTCTGAATCATTCAAAACATTTTACATACACACACACAAAGGAAACAAACAAATACTATAATACACCACACTTATTAGTGGCTGATCAGACTCTAAGCACAACAATATAGAAGAAAAAGCAAAGCAAAACCCAAGAACATAAAGCAGCAGATAGATAAGACTTTATTCTTCACATGCAGGGGACCAGAAGTTTCGGTAAACTACGAATTTTATCGATAAAGGCGGAATCGTCAAATTCGAACCCATTATCACGAGGCTCGGGACCAAACTCGGGATGTCTCCGTTTTCCGTTAGCTTCAGAGGATGTCCGTTTAACAACATGACTCGGCTCGTAAGATCGCCATTTTTGGGAGTCAAATGGTACTCCGCTCGGTACAGCTTCTTCTCACAAGCATTTTCTCCAACCCACGAGACCGATTTTTTAAGCTTGCCCGTGATGGAGTTGTTTTTCTCGGCTCGAATTTGGTTTTTCCCATCGGTTTGGACATCGACAATGTATGTTGTCTGGTTGCTTAGGTTGATCAGAAGTACGGCTATGCCAGGCTAGAAAAAACAAGAATTGTCATTCAGAGACAATTTTTTCTTTTTTTTTTTTGCTGAAAAATGAAAACTAACAGAAAAATAATATAATGTTGGTGTGGCCCACTTACGCTTTCTTTAGCACAATGAGCGTAAGCCCGCAAATATTTTGTCGAGTTGATGTTAACGTCAAGCACGGCTTTTCCCATTAGCCGGTGCCACAAAAGTGCGCTGATATTGATTGCATCAAAGCACGATATGTTAAGAATAAGCTGCAAAACTCGGAAAATGGGAAAAAATTTATGTCTGATTAGCTTATCCTAGCTTATCCTATCCTACCTGTAATAATCAGGATTGGGAACAAATGTAGTTGTGTCTAGGAGCCCGTAAAAACCGCCAATCAAAGTCTGCCTGCAATACACTTTGGTTTGAAACTTAGCTGCCATGGCGATTTGATCCAGATACCTATTAAAAGATTATGTTAGACTTCTTGTCAATTTTTATCCTTAAAAAAGAAAACAAACAAAGCAATAGGGATTTACTTTAAGTAGAAAATAAATTCCAGCCTAAAAATTTGATATTACTACAATTGGTAACTTTCTTGAAATTCTTTGAAAACCTGTTGATTTGTAATTTGAATTTCAAATTCATTCCTACACTTAAAGGAAAATATCATAAGCAGATTTTTTTGGATACATTTCATTGTATCTTAAATTACATATAATCACATTCCTAACAAACATTAAATTTGCTCATATATTTGTAAATTAATTACATCAATAAATAATATTAATATACATTAAATATTTGTCATTATAGAAAAAAAGAATATTACTACATAAGTGTTATAAATAATAATGACATTATACAACAATAAATTTTTTAATGAAACAATATTTGAGTATTATAATGAACCAAAAATTTTAAAAAATGTTCTAAGGTACGAAACCCCTGTGCGCCTTAGAATATGAATTGAGGTTATAAGTTCGGAAAAAAATAAAAAATAAATACCAAAAGCTGTCGAGAAATGTGTTGGATATGTTTGGTGCACCATTGTTATAGGCTCCTCCTGACTCGCCGACCCATGCGGAAGCCCAAGGTCCCTTCGATTGGATTGTGGAAGTAATCGTTTTGAATAGGAGAGATGTTTTATCCAAATGATCGGGATTCAAGATGTTTTTCATTGTATGGCCACCATTTCCTGTCATAACCGAAGAAGATAACATATATCTAAACCAATTACTCGTGTACTACAAAATG